ATTCCCAAATTACGCGCAATGGTGTCCTCCCAGTTCATCGACGACAATGCCGGACCGCAGTCCCACTGGACTACACTGTGCGCCAGGGGGGAAAGTCTTGAACTGTATATATTAAACAGGCCGTAATCCCGTTTACCCTCGGCGCCATTGGACGGACGACCTCGGGAGGTTGCATGTGCTTGGCGGAACGCTGATGTCATCGGCAACGAACGCCACCGCTGAACGCCACAGACACTAGCCGGAAGGCCTTAATATATACAAAAGGGCAACGAGATAGTATAATGCCAGTGAGAAGTAACGTGTTTCATCAGTAAGTCGGCCACTTTAGTGAGTCGGCCACTAAACCCCAGCGTCGCGCACGCGCAGCGACGTAGTGCAACACCACAACAAATTACTATACTATACGCAATAGGATAATATTATTCAGAAGCAGTACTACTATCTACATCCTCTATTTCTACCTTACAGGTGCGGGAATTATGCCCAATCTCGCTGCAACGGCCGCAGCGCCTCTCTGCGCGCACCCTCTTCGCAGGCGTCTCGCCGTTCTCACGACTACTACCCTCCTTTGCAGCAATTAAGTCAGATACCTCACCAACTGTTAGAGTCTTCTCAACCCGTACGTATCGCCTTTTACGGGTCTTGCGCTTTGTAAGCTCTTCAATTGCGCTTCGCATACGCGCCTGTTCCTCCTGCAGCAACACCATATTATGCGCTATCTGCTGCGCGCCTTTACTCAGCTGTCGTACCTGCTCGTCAAGAGAGCTCGCTGAGGAACCTGAGCGCTTTTGCATCCTCTGTCGAATGAGCGTAGTCTGAGCTTCTAGCTCTTTTGCGTTGCGCGGCGTCTTCGCCTCCCATGCGGCGTCGTCGCGCTGTGGCGGAGTTGGCGTGCGCAACCTTACATCAAGCTTCGATAACACTGCATCTGGGTCAAATGGAACTAATCCAGCGCCTCTAAACCCTGCGCGAGCGTTCTCCTTAGTAAATGTATGCTCGTAGGCAGCTTTAAAGGCTGGTAGGAAGGTTTCTTTGCTAATGTGGTGGATGTAGTTGCGCGCCAAGGCTGAGATACCATCGCCATAAGAGCGCTTCAGCGGCGCGAAGCAGGCGACGTCGAGAGGCTGCAGCAAGTGCGATGAGTGAGATGGCATGCAGAGAGCGATAATCTTGTTCTCCTTGCAGTAGTCCTGGAAAGCAAGCGAGCAATGGCTCTCGTGGCCGTCAATAATAAGTAGCCTGTACGCTCCTACAGACTTTGCATGCGTATTGAAGTGTTTAAGCCAGTCAACCCCAAGATCGTTGCTCGTCCAGCCATTTGGACTAACTTGGATAACCCAGTCGCGTGGTATTCCTAGCTCAAACCAGGTAGAGATTAGGACCTTGCCAGCGAAGATAATAAAGGGTGGGATGCGCTTCCCCGTCGCGCCGACAGCTTGTATCAGGGTAGTCCATTCGCGATCGCCAGGCTGTAGTTTCTTTGCTTTCCCAGGCTTATCTGAGCCTGTCACTACGAGCTGAGACGTGATCTTGCCCATTAAGAAGCCTGATTCATCAAAGTTCCAGGTATCCTCATCAAGGATACCGTACTTCGCCTTCACCGATTGAACCAGGCTGAACCAGGGCTCGATAACCGCTGGGTCTTCGCAGGCAGCTCGCTGGCGATCGTACGGACGGCTCCATCGCGTTCGCAGCTCAGGAGTACGCTTGATAAACCTATCAACCCAGCACTTGCCAGTAGGGTTGCATCCGCGCTCTTCTAGCAGTCTATCCGCCATATCTTGTATGTGTGCCTTCGAGAGCGGTAGACCTCGTAGGGATTCGTTGAGTATACGCTGCACAATCGCCTCCTCCTCTAGTTTTGTAAGGCGCTTTGATTTCGGCTCGCAGTCGCGTCGAGGGCGTCTCCCAGCGCGTCGGTCTTGGATCGTTGATCGAGGGACTTTGTGGACTGCAGCAGCGCGCCTTTCGCTTTGAATCTGCTTAGATTGAATATCAGAGATAGCGATATATATATCGCCTTCAGTATAGGTACTTTGCGCGTTGTGTTGTTGAGACATTACGTGTTGTTGCCGCGCAGTCGCCGCGCCGGTGTTTAGTGGCCGACTCACTGAGGTGGCCGACTTACTGATGAAACACGTTATAGCATTATTGTTAACACTTCGTCTCACTAGTAGTGATATAGTTCTATTCGGCGGCGTATTATTCACACCGTGCCGCCGGTGAACCCGAGAATGGGTCCAGTTCAGTCCCCTCAAAGCACAACTTTTGTTCCAGCCAAGGAATGCGATAGCATGATGGTACATTATCGAACTCTCTGCCCCAGCCCTGTTACCGAATGCCGTCCATCTATCGCAGAGGAGCCTCCGCTACGGGCTTCTATGTAGCGGGCTGGGCGGACATGTCCCGGTCCGCCCTCGGGAAAACTTGCTTCAGCGCAGTCTGAAAGACGCCGACGTTGTAGTCGATGACTGCTTTCTTGTCGGCTGGGCTGTCGTCGCCCATCAGGCACACTAGGGCAAGGTACCTAGACTCGTCTTAGCGCTTGTTTAGGTGTGCACTACGCACTCGCTGCTGCAAACTCACTTGTTGATCTCCCGCAGATATAAGTAGTTGTTGCCTTTCCGCTCCATGGTGATGAGACTTTCTGCATCATTGTTGCCCGTCTCCACCAACTCGCTCTGGCCATTCTCTTCTGGTCGGTCCCAGCCATATATCTCGCTGACATCGATAACGACGTCAATGTAGTCGGAGCAGATCTCGTAGCTACCAATGTCCGTCGGACTCGTATCCGTAGCGATGTAGATCTTGCTCATGATGTCGAAGAGGTAAGCTTTCTCGATGTGGCAAGTACTGCACAGGCTGTTCAGGAGCGCTTCAAGTGTTGGGAGCTGTGGTATTAGTTTCTGAATTACCTTTGAGAAGGCCTCGAAGATGGAGTGGTCGTAGATGCTCGTTTGGTAGAAAGAGACGGGTGCGTTTTCGTAGCCGTGGTCGGAGAGCTCGTCTTGCACTCGTTGGATGATATCCCGGAAGGTATCGCCTTTGTAGTCCTCAGACAGGCCATCGACTTTGTGAACGAAAACTTCGACGTTGATGTTCGGATACGAATGCTGTAGATTGAGGATGGTGGTGTTGAGCCGCATGATGGCCTCGAGATACTCATCTTGCGCGTCAATGACCCAGATCAGCGCCCCGATCTCCTCGAAGATGTTATCCACGTCGAAAGCGGGGTCGAAGTAGTCTAGATGACCCGGAAAGTCCCAAACCTGGAAGTCCATAAAAGAGCTAGCATCTGGTCAGCAAGCCGGAATAAGTGGCAGGAATACGACATACTGCATCGACTCCCTCTTAATGTGTGTCGTGGTTTCCAGATACAGGGTCTCGCTCGGTGGGAGTTTGTGGAAGACTACACTCGAAATTGACGACTTTCCACTCCTGAGCCACGTCAGCCTGGGTCTTCCAAACATGCAGAACCCATGACGCACCTCCTTTGGCCCATGAGCAGCAGGCGTGGTTTGCCATCCCCAGCTTTACTATTGGGCAGTCGGCCAGTGTGATATCGCGGAGGCACATCGCTGGGTGGCATATCCGCATCCGGAAGATCCTGCAGATATCGCAACATGGTCAACTGGGCTCCGGGCTGCAGGCGCGACGGCGCTGCGCGAGGTTGCTCGTCATCGTCGAAGTACGAGTCGGCATGAAGAGAAGGCTGTGAATGTGCTGACAAACGCCGGTGACTGGAATCCATGAGGTGAGGTAGTACAGGGTATCAACGCTGAAAAAACTGAACAGAGGAATGAAAGACGAGATGGGAAGACGACGCGAGGGAAAGACTCGAGGACCGCCAGCATGAAAAGCGCAGAGGGAAAGCAAATGACTGTGTCTCCACGTTCACCTGACCGGCATGGCGGTGGTGAAGCGTGGTACCTTGGGAGCAGCCGTGGAATAGGCAGCCACGCGGGTATGACGTGTGCAACGAAGGCGGGAAGGTGGCAGGTGCAGAGAGAGCGCGCTGGAGGAAACAGAGGGGAGGATTGGCGGTGACGGGGCAATTGGCGGTGATGGTGAGGTTCTACAAGCGTGATAGCTGCAGGCTGGCCGGCGCCCAAGCGGATGGCACCCGCTGAGAGTCAAGCCATGGCCACGCTGCCGGGGCGCGCCATGTGGTGTAGGGCTGACGAGGGAAGACGGCGGGCGCACAAAGGAATTATAGAGCCAACGATAGACGCGAGGGGCGGAGGGGACGAGGAAAGGGCTGCTCACATCCATGGCTGCTGGGTAGGACTCTCTGTCGCGGCGCACGGCCAGCAGAGTGGTGATGTGCTTTGGGCCGTCACCCCCGGGGCCCCTAGCCCAAGCAAACAAACAGGGCTTCCCGACAGGGCTGCTGGTCAGATAACAGTGACAGTTTATTTGCAGACGGGGAGCACACGGCGGCGCGCGCAGTCGGGCCTTTGGCTTTGGGGGGTGGTGGCCGCTATGGGCAAGGGTGAGGAGTGCTATCTGGCTGACGGGCGGGATCGTTGGGCGGCCGTGACACTATCCTGGCGCAGAAGAAGAAAAGGCTCGCCACCACACGAGTCGCTGCGGGATTGCGGTTAGCGATGCGATACAGGCGCGATATAGGACCTTGATAGCGGCGGAGATGCGTAGATTAAAGAAGCGGTAAAAGCAGGGTTTGTGCGTCCTTCGCCTAAGTCCGAGACTCCGAGGGCCCTACGGAGTACCTACCAGCCTATTTAACAATGAACGTAACCTGACCTTGACCTGTTAATCTGCAGTATTCATAGCTCTTTTCTTGATAGATTTGATAGCAGGTAGATGCTGTAAAAAGTAAAAGAGTAGGCATAGCGTAGGGGAGAGCTACGAGATAAAAAGAAGAGGTATCTAGATAGATAGTTCAGCTACCTTTGTGTATCTGTGTCTTTTCCAACTGCATTCAAAGATCACATAAACCAGAGCCACACTACAACATAACCAAAATTGCAAAAAATGAATGCCCATTCTCGGAATCGAACCGAGGATCTTCTCATGACGCATACGAAATACGAGTGAGACGCTGTACCACTAAGCCAAACGGGCGTTCTGTTGAATTGTGGGAATTTTCTCACTCTGTTCATATATATTGAGTGCCAGAAAATTTGCAAGACTGCACAACACCCGCACGGATGATGCAAGCGTCGCTTAGCTGCGAGGATATCCATGGATTGTCAGGCACCAATCACTCCACCTTCTCACGACCTCGGACCCAACGACGCGACACGGCATTTCCAACCCGCTGGCTGCACGCACCCACCGGAGTCTGCCTCCGACCGCCCAACTGACTCGACGTTGGCGCGGATGCCGCTGCAGCGCGTGGCATGGCAATCAGCCATGGCAATCAAATTGAGGTCGGGGCGCACATCGCACAGCATCACCGAGTGCTTCTCGTCCGCCCGGGGACCAGATGCCATTGTGCGTACAGGTATGCAGCGCCAGGCCCGGAACATCGCCTTCCACCATACATCGGAGCCATCAGACCTTCCACCACACATCGGAGCTATCAAACAGCCCCCCCGATTGTTGATATCTGTGTCTGTCGGTCGAGCTGAGCCGAGCCGAGCTGGGTCAGCTCCGCGCCCGGTAGGTAGCTACCTATATCACCACACTCTAAGGAACCAATATCTATGCAGAGGAGCCCGGGTCGCATGAAAGGAGCAACCATGTCAGCAAGCTCGCGAAAGGCACTCACCAATGGGCACATACCGGAGGAAGTCATTCGTACCACATCCAAAGCCATCAAGAAGGAGTAAATACAGATACACGTCCAGATAGGTACTAACCTAACCTTGGCCAGGGCTCCGCACCAATCGCAACGAGGCTGCTACCCTACCTTCACCGTGCTACACTACCTACACCGATCGCACTGCTGCGAAGGGCTCGGCTGCAGCTACCTATCTATGCAGTGTCACTACACGCGACCGACGCTCTGCATCATCAGACTTCACATGTCACGCAGAGTCACAGCTAGCTAGCCGCAGCGGTCTCACCGCCAGGCATGCCGTCTGGCATTGTCACTGTCACTGCAGAAAGAGCCGAGCCAAGCCAAGCCAACCACCGACTGGAGAGTTCTCGCGCCGACTATCGTGAACTTTCCCTTCGCGGCTTAAAAAACACATCACGAAATACTGCCAGCCCGAAAGGAGACAGATGCTCAGGTCATTCATTATTCGAATAAACGGGATCAAAACGCCCAATTGAACCAGATCTGAAAAGTATCCGCCCAACCACGTATCGTATCATCCCAAATGAAAGACTCCATCTCAACCCATACAAAAGACAAAGAACCTGCAAAAGACTTGCTACCTTTCTTACACATGTCACACTAACCCACACTCCAACTGCTGCTTACTTACTCGTCATGCCCCGTAACCTCAGCCCCCAGGACCGTCGCAGCCAACTGTCCCAAGCCGCCCGCAAACGCCAAGCACAGCGCCAGCGCCGTCGACTCGCCGCTAGAAACGAGGTCCTCAGTGGTGCTCGTGCCATCCGTCTCCGTCTGGGCTACCTCCCTCCGCGCCGACGCCGTGGGCTCATACGAGTCCTCCGCCTCGGATTCGTAGTCGCTCCGGATCTTGCGTCTTGAGCTTCTGCGGAGGGCTGCCGTCGACGATGCCGATGCCGAAGTCGATGCAGCTGCGACGCCGTTCGTCGTCGCGTTCTTCTTTGGTCGGCCGCGCTTCTTCGGGGTGATGACGGGGATCGGGGCTTCTTCTTCTTCGGAGTCGACGGTCTCGATGTCGTAGGCAAGATACAGATTGTCGCTGGTTTTCGCGCTGTGGGGTCTCTCGCTGTGGGGTCTCTCGCTGTGGGGTCTCTCGCTGTGGGGTCTCTCGAATGCGACGTGCTTCTCGGGCCGCTTGGAAGCGAAGAACGAGAGGATGCTGTTTTCGAGGAGTGCGTCGACGTCCAGGTTACGCGTGAACGCCCATGTCAGGAGACTGATGGCGGTGAACAAGACATCGGCGCTGGTAATGCTGACTGCGGGATGCTGGCTGATGAGCTTCAACCTGTATGCGGTGTTGCCAATGCCAGTGAGTACTCGGCTTGATCGCGAGTGGTGCTGGTGCTTGCCGAGCGCGTTCTTGAGGAGGTCGTAGACTGAATGTTGCTCTCGCGGGGTGTTGACGAAGAAGGTGCCGATAAGGAGTTTCCAAGTTATGAAGATGGATGCAATCGACAAGACGTAGAATGGCCTGGTGAAAGCTCGGTGCGCGGACTCTTTGGAGACGTGTTGATGGCCCCAGTACGAGGGTATGATCTGTACGATGTTAGTAAACCAAACAAAAATTTCCAGAAGTGATAGCTACCCGGGGCGCAAGCGCAAGGAAGAGCGGTACGGCCACATATCCATAGCGCAGTCCAGCTACGTTCGCGTTTTTCGCAAGGAGTGTTGGGAAGTAGTCCAATGCCGCAAGAGACATGACGATGGGTACGTAGTAGACGGCGGGCTTTGGCGTAAATAAAGCGTCGCGTCGCGAGGAACCGCTACCATGTACTGCTAGTGGAGTGTAAAGCATGGTGATGAAGAACAGACAGAGCGCGTAGGCCAGGCTTCCGGTCGCGCCCAGAACGACAAACGACGCGATTGTTGCCGTAGAGAGATTGCGCCTGTGTCCTACAGGTCGTGTTGTTAGCCGTTATCCCACACTGCACTTCTGCGCGCGCATAAAAGCATACCTTCAATGCCGATGAACATGGCGCTTGCGAGAAGTCCCACAAAGTGCTGGATCGTATACACGAAGCCCTCCCGCCTCTGGACAGCCAAGGCCTCCGTATCCCTCACAAGATCGACATCGCTCGTCCAGTCGCCCAGCCTCCACCGGCCCACGCCCTCATCCCCGGTGCCGTACCAGCCCGCCCACAGGTTCCCCGGCGTTTCGTGGTTGCCCTTCTCTGCCCAGTCCAGGTACGACACCACGCGCCACATGACGGCAAACGTCGTCACCGACAGCAGCGACAGCAGCGCGAGCACGGAGAAGACGGTCGCATGGCGGCGGCGCGCGGGCTGCTGCGAGCGCGTTGCGGCGGATGGAGGGAGGGACGATGCGGCGCGCCGGGCGGTGGTGAGCACGTGGGTGGTGAGGCCTGCGACGAGCAGGATCTGGCCGGAGAAGAGAGCGAGGGGGAGCGTGTTGTTGCGCGCAGTCGCGTCAGGTTCGAGCGGCGCCATGGTCGATTGGCGGGTGTTCACGTTGTGATGAGGGTCAGATATCGCTGGAAATGCGCATTGCGCGAGGGCGTTGCGTGTTTGGTGTTGGGGTTGATGGGATGGATGATGCTTGCCTTGTTTTGATTTGGGCGCAGGCACGCTTGCGCTTGCCCCACCGGGGACGTCACTGTCTTGGCGCTGCCGCCAGCGCTAACGACATCTGGCGAAGCTGTCGATCGCACTAGCGCCATCGCCATTCCGCGGAACCAGCAGAATCACACCTCGCCCTCTCGCTCACTCCACCCCCCCAATGGCGCCCTACCCTTTACACCCGCTCGACGACGCTTCCGACGTCGAAAAGGACTACCACGAGTCCTCAGACGACGACTTCAGTCCCACCGTCGCCCCCGCCGACGACTCGCCCAGCGACTCCGAAGCCGACGACGATGACACCGCCGCGCCGAAGCCGACACCGCGCAAGGGCAAGCGGAAGGCAGCCTCGCCCGCAGATCTCGACTCTGGAGATGAGGTCACGATTGACGCGGCGCGGAAGCGGAAGGTGGAGAAGAGGAAGGGGGGCAAGAAAGGGCAGGGCGAGGATGCCGAGTTGCTGGAGGACGAGGGTGGGGAGGGCGGACTGGTGAAGACGCGGGCGCAGCGAAGGGATGAGTACGTATAGACACTGTTCCGTACATAATCTGTAGAATTGGACTGACAATGGCACAGGACGACCGAGCGCAGGCCGCTTGTCCGCACCGAGAACGCAACCGTCGATGTCGACGCCCTGTGGGCGCAAATGTCCGCCGCCCCTGTAAAGCCCGTAGCCACCGTAAAGCCTGTAAATACCACAGATCACGATGTTGCTATGCAGGGCTCCGATTCTGCGCCCGCCGTTCCCGTCGAAGACGACCTCGTCGCCATAAAAAAGACCTACACATTCGCCGGCCAGCAGACCACCGAACAGAAGCAGATCCCGCGCGCCTCGCTCGCAAACTACATCGCTCTAGGCTGGAAACCCGCCGACCTAGCCCCCGCAGCAGCAGCAAACCCACCCCGCATTAAACCCAACGCCCAGCCCACAAAATCCCACCCATCCGCGCCCAAGATCCGGCGCCCACTCCGCCGGCCCTCGCGCTTCGACGCCAACCCAACAGGCTTCGTCCGCGCCCTCCTGCCCGAGCACCAGCTCACCTGGCCGCGCAAGCCATCCTCTACAACCGCAGCCCATCTCGCGCACGAAAACGCACCCCCAGCAGCCAAAGCCAAGCCCGACAAAGCGCAGAAGCTCAATGTCGTGGACAAGAGCAGGCTGGACTGGACTGGGTTCGTAGACAAAGAGGGGATTGCCGAGGAACTGGATACGCATGGCAAGACGAAGGAGGCGTATCTGGGGCGCATGGATTTCCTGGCGGGCGTCGAGGCGCGGAAGGAGGAGGAGTGGAAGCGACTGAAGGTTTCTGCTGCTGCGGCTGCTGCTTCTGGTGCTGCAGCGAAGCCGGCTTGAGGCACGTAGCAATGCTGGTGAGGACGAACGTTTGGCTTAGATCCGATGATACCCCTGTACAAACAATGATCAACCAATTATTGCATGCCCGCGGATCACATTCCGTGACACAAGCACCGCCGTGCACAATGAATACAAATGAATATGAATAGGGACTAATGACTAATGACCAACTGTAACCTCAAATCTCCCAGTCTCCTCTTTTTCCTGGGCCGCTACCACTCCCTCCCTCTATCCAGAAGATATAGCCCAGGCAGCTGAACTCTACTCGAAGCTCGCTACTACATGCTTTGAATGGCTCAGTGAGGACGGACTTCGTGTTGAAAAGAAGTTCAAGGTACTTGGGTTCCAAGTTCGGACCAGTAAGGCTGGCCATGGGTATCCAGA